ATTGGAATATCAGAGAAACAGATCAGGTTTCTTGCAACTTCATTGTTCAAATACCAGTGAGGTATCAAAAGCGTGAACTCACCGATAAAACAGGTGTTGATAAATGTGCTGAATCAGGTCATATTTGGAGAGACTGTTCGCATCGCAAAGAAGACACTTCAAAACCCCCTGAAGGAAAGTAAGTCATCTTTTGAAGACAATTAATGGTACATCGGAACCATTAGAACGCTTTCACCGAATTCGTAGGCGTAGGCCGGGCATTCTAGTGAGAGACCAACTCTAGAGATAGGATATAAGAATGAGTTGAATAAAACTTACCGTTCTGACGTCGGCGATTCCATAAAAGATATGTTGCAGCTTGTGACAGTATGGATTCTAAACAGCTGAGCAGTGAACTGCCCAAAATCCTGCAGCAGAAGTAATCTCAAATCATACAGCAACAGATCAAAACATTACGAAATATAGTGACCGCCCATCCCCCACACTCCCCCCGCTTATTAGGATCCATAAAAAAAGACCCACTAGGGACCTCTCCTAATAATCCCTCTGTTTCAACAGTTCCTGGAAAGCCTTTGACGCTACTTTAAGTAGGGGAGGGGAGGAGGGAGGAGTAGTTGGCTGCACCTTGGTGTCCCTTCTCCTAAAGCCGCATTCATACTTTGCATAGGGAGAATAGAGGAATGCGCGCGAAGGAAACTATGGCTAATATAGATGAGGCGCTCTGTTAGAATGCGCATCAAGGGAAAGGATGGGTATTAAATGAGTGCATACTTATTCGAGTCTCTTATTGTCCCAAAACGTGGCGTTGATATATCCCTCGACCACTTGGCCGCGCAATCTATCAAGTCAGTTCCGCGTTTCTTCCATTTCCCCGTCCGGAAGCTATGACCGCGACCTAAAGGCTGCATTTATACCTTGCGTCTGCCAGCAAAGAAAGTGAGAATAGAAATCGATCGAGCGAAGGGCAGCGACCACGAATGTATTGATACGGAGTTTTCGCGGGCAGTTATACCCCAGGCCAAATTGCCCGCGAAAACGCTGGCATTCGATAAGTCGATATCCTTGTTTTCCTAGTCGCTGGGGGAGACGGTAAAGAGGATCGTAATTCGCCGCACCGCCACGCGCGGCGATGGGCGCGCGTTTTCATAACTCGTTTTAAACCTGTCGAATGGAGCACCGGACTTCATGTAGACCCCGTCATCGTAGACACTCATTACTGTTTTCGGTCCTTAATTGCATGTTGTCGCCATCTACTGCCTGAAACCATCGTCCTTTGCGGGCGAGACGTCGCACGCGACGCCCAGCAGCGCGGCAAATTACGATCCTCTTGTCACATACCCGTCGCTGGCGGATCTTGCGCTAACAGGATATCCTTAGCTAGTCGCCATTCCGTGTTGCAGTATTCCGCTGAATTAGTTCCGTCTTGCTGTGAATGCTTTTAAGTACCTGTTTTAGCTGCGGGCCGGATTTGCTAGATCGCCCAAGGGACTTCCACGTGGTGCCGTTTGCCCTCCCCCACTCCTCTCCTAAAGCAGCGTCCAGACTTCGCGATCGAACACGTTTTAGAGTAGGAGACACGCTTGCTAGCGAGACCTACTCGTTATGTGGTACGGACGGTTGTGTGGCGCGACTGATTTCGATCGCGCTCCAATGCAAAAATCGGCTGAACGGTGCTAATTCACAGCCTAATTCAGTAAGTATTCACTTATATATTTTTCCTTATTTCTCCTCCCGTCGCTGCGGACGATTGGGCGTGTCAGTGCGGCTGCGTTTGGCGGCGTTGCGCCAAACTCAGTTCTCGCACAGTTTGTTGAAGGCGGCCAAGTGACAATACTGTAGCATATCCTTCGTATTACTCATTTTGTACCACATACTACGATTACCTGCGCTCCGCTAAGGCTGAGCCGAAGAGGTAATCGTAGTGTCATCCCTTGGCGCCAGCGCCAAGAAATTGTAATCAGGATGTGAAACTACCCCTACATACAAGTTTTTAGCGGATTTGGTAACCTAGGTAATTCAAAAATGAGCTCGGTGCTGAAGTTGCTGGAGTCCAAACGGCATTAGCCCGTGCTGATGTTTTAACCAGCGCTACGAAGCAGACACGACAAGAATTTAGAGGGGCGCCGCTTTGGGTTACGGTACCGTGGCGGTAATACTGAAGTTAACTTCTAGTGTTTCTAATTGTGTTGTGTCTTGGTTATGTTTAAGTTTACTGTGTTCTCTTTACAATTCTGTTCTCACAACACAATTAGAAAATAGGAAGTAAGAGAAACTACTTACCATACTGGTGAAGGTTTCTATTGAACTGCTGAACTACGACCAAGCTAAACACGATATGATTGATGAGAATCAAAAAGATAACCAAAACTGCAGGGAACCTGAAAACCCACCTCGAAAACAAGAAAAGTTGCGCGCAGAACGGCCGTCCATCCAAAAAATTTCAATGCATCTGAAAAATTTCACTTAAGGGTAAAAAGCATAATAACTGAAAAGCATTAGAGGGGAACTGAAAAGCATTAGAAACAGATTAGAAATAAGAGTGCTAGGAGGAGGAAGAAACAAGCGGGAGGAGAAAGAAGCAAAAAGTAACCGAAAATGGCTGTAAATTAGCATCCGTCCAGTTGATTTTTGCATTGGAGCGCGATCGAATCAGTCGCGCCACAGAACCGGCCGCTACCACTGGCGACGCGATCGCGAAGTCTGAACGCTGCCTAAGCTATATTGGCGACTGCGCGAAAGCTTTGTTCGACGTCTTTAACTCAAAATTTTTCGCTAAAACTTCGTCCATAGGAGTCATTCAATACCCTAGCCACTATTACTGCGGTGTGGGTGGAGCTGTTGACTGGTTTCAAGATAAGGAGGGCTCCGGAAACGGTAGCTGCATACACATAATCGCTCACAAATCATTGCGCTTAGTTACAAAAATCGGAGAAATAGGGAACATCGAGATGGGAGGGGGAGTGGGAAACAAATTAGTAGCCTAGCTAACGTTTCGCGCGTGCTCTTGAAGGCACATCCAGCGCTCATCTAGTGTGCAGTCGCCGTCGGTTGTTTCACTGTTTGTTCTCTCCAATCTGAATGATGAGCGTGAGGGATGAAGGAAACAGCTGTTATCGTTTTGATGCCACCAGTGAATAAGGACCCGTCCCACGCTCTCTCTCTTCGCTTTCCGATCGAGTTCGCTTCTGCACGACGTCCTTTCTAGGCAGGAGGCTTTGGAGGCTTTCTCTGCTTTTTCCTTCACTACTGATTGAATACCACATTCTCAGTGATTATGCAGCTGAAACAGACGTGTAAACAGGGTACAGCATCGTGATGTGTGACATGGCGAAGTCAGTACGACCCCCGCCCCTCCCCCCAGAAAAGGATTCCGCTATGGCCCTCCCCCTTTCCGGCTCCAGTTGTTTGCTCTGACGAGAAGGATCAGATACGTGACGATTCGCAAGCGCTTGCGGCCGCGTTATGATTCCATGGCAATTAGCTGCGGGCAGATCTGTTGGCCGGGTAAAAATCGCTTTTTGCTGGGGGTGATAGCGTTTTAGATGTGAGACTTTTAGGAAATGGAAGGCGGCATGCTGAAGCACTGCTTTTACTACTGAGTTTTCTACCCATTCCCCATCTGAATCTTCCCCGTTCATGAAATATTTCGGATGGGTTACGGTCACGTTAGTGGTAAATCGCGAGTGGGGTTTTTATGCTTCCTGAAGAGAATAGCTCCTTTCAAACACTTTTTGCAAAACCAAAAACGCCATCAGAACCCCCCATATCTCCCCTATCCATCAAGCAGAACCCCCCGCGTAGATTCCCCTATCCATCAGCTCTACATTTTTCCTGAATCCCGCTACGTTCTAGGAGATATTTTAGGAGGGGTCACCCTTGACGGACGACAAAGAGAGGACAAAGGCAGCCTTGAGGTATTCTGGAAGAGGAAGTCAGAGGATCGATCAAGCAGCTGCAAAGCGGACTCGCTAAGCGGCCGTTGCTGGCCAAGAATACGGAAAAATGGACGGCCCTGCTACCGACCAGGCTGGAAAGCCGAGAAGGCGGACAAAGTTCGTCTGTCCGCCTGGCTATAAGCTCCGGCATCGCGCAAGCTCGAGCGACTATCAGGGTCGTAACAGACCTGTCTAAAGAAGCAGCAACGGGCCCCATTCTCAGGAAACCAGCCGAAGTCAGGAAGAGGTGGGAAGAATACTTCGAGGGACTTCTGAACGAAGAATTCCCTCGCAAGGATAGCCCACAGATAGAGGCGACGGCAGGTCCCATCACTCCCTGGACGAAGGATGAAGTTCGCCGGGAGCTACTTGGGAGCAATGAATGCTGGGAAAGCAGTGGCGGTCCAGAACGGCGATATCCGGCTTAGCGGCATCATGGAAGGGCCCTCGGAGAGCATTTGGTGAGTTGGCTCACGCACTTCCTTAAAATCAAACCCGTTCTAACCAGAGGCTGAAGGATGCACGAATGCGACGTGGAGGAGCAGCACAATCGTTCGCCATCTTCAACCTCAGAAAGCCGCCAGACGCGACGGCATTGGTCCAACTACCGCGCATTCAATTACTCCATACCATTGAAAGCTGTACGAGCGCCCTGTGTTTCAACAACAAGGCTAAGGGAACTTTTGTCTCCGATCTCGCAGAAACAGTTCGCTTCATGCCCGACGAAGGTCCACCACGAGGCCAGCTTCTATCGCACCAGACAGCCTGATGGAAGAAAGGGTACAGAGGAATGCGCGGCGACCCTGCATTACTAGCCTTCCGGACCTGTAGAGGAAGCGCATTGCGACCCCGCCTCGCCAAGGACCTGTACTTTGCGAGAGCGCTCAGCAGAACGGAACGTTCTCGGCAGACACTTCATCATCCAATAGTGCATAAGCGACATGTATGATTGGGCTAAAGCACGCTTGTACGCATCCCCTCACGGCTGACAAAGGAGGTAAACATGACGTTGGGTACACCAAAGCGCCCGTCAGCCTCAGCCCCGTTCCTCTTCTCCTGAGCTCTAGATGCCAATGGGCAAAAGAAACTTGCATGGAAGACTTTACTGAAAACCATCCTCGTATGTTGCTGACGACATACGCCTTGCATAGCAGGAGCAGCAGGAGGGTAACTTCAGCGACAAAGTGCACGGGTGGCAGGATGTTGCTCGCCTGCGAAAGGACTTCCGGTACTAGAACGTAAGGAAAGACCAAGTTCCCTGAAGCTCCGAACGAGTGCGTCCGAAGTCATCGTACGATCGCCATGGCGGGAACTGAGCCATCGCAACAAGGCGTCGAGGATTTTCCAGTACCTGGGGAGACAACTAGCAGCTGCTTGATGGCCAGCGCTGGACCAGGCGGTCGAGGCCCGAATCTCAACGCGAGCCTGATGAAATGGACGGCAGTCCACTTGGCCCAATCCTGTGCGGGACCGGCGATGCTCGAGAAACACTCAAAGCGGCAGTGTTCTGTATGTACGGGCTGTGCGTAAGGCCTACAATGCTCTACGGCAGTGAGTGCTGGCCCATCTGCAAGAACCATGAAAGGCAGCTCCACTCAGCTGAAATGAGGATGCTGAGATGGGCCTGCGGCTGGACACGACTCGACAGAGTCAGAAACGAGGACGTCAGAGCAGTCACACAGACGGCTCCTATCCAGCTGAAGGCACGAGAGCAGCGACTGCGATGGTACGGTCATGTACTGAGGACCGGCCTGAAGACCACCCAATAAGGAAGGCACTGGAACTCGAGGTAAAGGAGCATCAGCCGACCCCACGAGGAGAGCCCCGAAGAAAAGGTGGAGGGACGTCATCAAGAGGGACCTCACTGAAGTGAAAGCCACAGCAGAAGATGCAGTGGATCGGAACAAGTGGCGACGTCTAACAACGATGAAGCGGAACCTGCGATCGCGGCGCACTTAACGCCTTAGGGAGAAGAAGAAGAAGACCCTTGGGAGACAATCTGAGCAGCTCAAAAGCTCGACTCAGTCTGTGCGATTGTAAGGATACTCATTCGCGAAATTCATTATGCTTCAAAACACATTTTCCCGTTGAACTGAGTCGAAGCATAACTTTGTTATCACCGATCGATTTGGTCCGAGTGGGCGCTGTGCATTACGCTTCTACGCAGAGGTGGTGGAAAGGTGTAACGTCTGATTTAAGTGATTTTTGCCCATGCAAGCAGATGCTTTAGGGCTTTGGAAAGTTCGTACGCAAGAAATCTGTTTGAGCGGGTATTTATTTAGTCATCTAACGTACTTTACGATTATATGGTAACTATTGAGCATTGCTAATAGAATTGGTATCTGATTATTCTGTAGTCTTCCTTCCATACATTTTCAGCTTTCCTTCCGCTCCATCGAACTTAGCAATGACACCTTTGTGCTGTTTGGTGCTTACCGACCCTGCAATATACGGACTCGCCTCCCCTTTCCAAGCAGGCCACGAGGGTCGCTGCAACGATGCGCTGTACTTCAGCGTGGTAAAGCTTGCTAGCCTTTATTCATATCTTACAATCCTGTCATGTCGTCTCCATTATTGCCCTTATTACTTCCTATGCGTCGCTGTACTGTTTTTTAACCAAGAAACATTCAGACAGTTCTATTTCATCAATTGTCCTCATTTCAACTTATTTTTTGAACCTTGTCTCCTATCCTTTGGATTGTTCTAAAGGCGGAGATCTCTTTTCATGAAATATGGATGAACCACATTAAGAGCGCCTCACTTATAAACCCCAAAGTTCGGTCCCTGTCGCAGTTCAGAGAGAGACCGCCCTACTAGTCCTCTCCCACGACGAGCATCAGTGAATCGAAACTCCGCTCACCCACCATCAGCCCACCACAGTCTCACAGTTCCCCGGAGACTATACCGCTTTTCTCCGCCACGGCGTTATAGCCCACCGTTTCCCCGGGAGCGGGACCACCAGGGCTAAGCCGAGGCAGGCTGCAGGGCGGGACGGTCAGCCATGCACAGGGCATGTCGCCGGTACCGTACGTGGGTCCGCCACCTCCCCCAAGTCCGTACTGGACCCCCGGGTCAGCCGGCCCCTACCACTGTTACAGCCTGCCGTAACCGGTCCAGTCACATGCCTACCCGGCTCACCTGGCCCCGAGGCATGCGACAGCCGAATAACAGAAACATCACAACCAACAACCTGTACCTACAACCGACCAGCCCCTTGCGGACCCATCTGCCCGGTCGCTCCCAAGTCCCACCTATTACAAACATTACAAGATAAATAAACTTCATATTTATTGACTTACGTGTCTGCGGTAACCATCTTCCTACAATCCTTACATCCTGCCGTGGTTGGATTGACCATCCATCTTCCATCTGTCCAGCGGTAATCCTAGACGCGTCTAATGGCGCTCTGCGGCTACAAGCTGCAACCCACAGCCGGCCGTGCCTTCGGGTCATAGCAGGCACGGGCCTGAGCCAGAGCTCCGCCAGACGGAGCAGTGTGCCCGACCACACTGCTGTACAGAGTGCAAGCACCCTGCAGAACCGTCCGGCATCATGGCGGCATTGTTGTGGAGCTGGCGTGCCCGGGATCTCTCCTCCCGGAGCGGAGAGAAGACACCGTTACTGGCTCGCAGCAGCCATTAGGGGATGGCTCCACTGGGGCGGCGGGGCGCGGGGCCGGCTGCCGTGCGCCTTCGGCCGTCCGCGTCGCGGCTCTTTTGCCCGTGTAGCGCCGCCAGAGGCGGGGCCCCCCCCCCAGGCGCACGGGACCCGACCATGTTGCTCGCGAAGCCGCGACCAGTCTTCTTAAACTGTGTTTGTACCTTGTGGTCCCTGTGCTATTATACTGCTAGGGCAAAGCAGAGTGCCTTCGCAGAAATATACCGGAACGGCAGGTCACCTTCGCGGAATTTTGATTGGTTTTCTGATGAGTCAGTCGTTTGGCTGCAACGTTCTTTCATCCCGAGTGCTACAGCCTGCTGGTCCGACGATGAAGGGACTGCCACAAAAAGGATGGAAAGAGGATGGTCCGGACCGGCACACATCTGACTCGTATCCGTGGAGTCATACTAGTGCCTATTCGATTTGCTCAGTAGATTTCTCTACCTGTGATGTACCAAGCAAATCCCCTGATTTTGTAGAGCACATTAGAGCGCTGAACCAGAAAACTGTGGGTTTGCTCAAGTGCTCTGCGAATGGTTTGCAGTTCGTTTTCGTCACTGACGTATTTCTGCCCACAAAAATGGAAAAGCAATGGTAAAAAGCTAGTATACGAGGCATGACAGAACGATTGAAGCCTTGGGTTAACCGTTAATAGAAACTCTAACAAAGGCGATCAATGACAACTTCAGGCAGAAAAATCGAAGGGTGAAAGAATCCGCTGTCAGGCGCGCCTCAGCGCGCTTTTGGTTACAACGATGCGTGCTGATGGAGCTTGTGCTAGGCGCTATTGAGCGGCTGCTTGAGTAGTGTATTAGAGACGGATACTGGGCCCACCAGACCTGTCGGTGTTCCGAATACTTTTTGAGCGGTGTTGAGAAGTGGCACCTACTGCAGCTGCGAAACCATCTCCCTACATCGAGCACGGAACATGCGATCAATCGAGATCAATCGAGGTGACGGCACATCTGCTCTTCCATGGCGAGGCCTGAACACGGTCCACGTAGAGAGTTTCAGCGTAATCCCTCTAAACGCGCCGATCCTTCTTTTTGGTCCTTCTCCACTCTCTAAGCCGTTATGGGTTCATGCTGATGACTTGTTGACTTCGAACATTGCCAAGCTTATGGCGCTGCTGCTCACACCTATCTGCCTGTCCTCTCCCTCAAAAAAGCCCACATTTGGTTCGCTACATGATTCTTGTGCGTTTCGATGCTTTGGCAGCAGCTGTCCCCTATCTTCCACTGTTCCGTGGCAATAAAACTTTTAGTGGGGGTTCTGGTGCAAAAGGCCAGAGCGCAGAGAAATAAACAACTGCGGGCATCATCGAAGGTACAAAAAACATGTCGTGAGCCTGGAGATGATTTCTTTTCAAAGCGAGAGAACTGCAGGGTGGATGAGCCACTACTTGTGCGTGAAAAGTTGGGTGAAATGCAGAGTGGTGAAACGCCATGCAGACGTGAGCTGTCCATAGACCATTTATCAGCGCTACATGGTTTCGTGACAGGACTGCACAGTATGAAGACGAACATCTAAAGGCCTTTTCAGGCATTACCATGTTGCGAAATCGCTCCGGTGCTCCTCTCCTCCCTCACCCTTCATCAAAATACTCACCTCACGAGCAATTCCAGTTTTGCGCAACGAGTTCTCAAATAGCCGCGATTCGGTGGGTCCCCCCCCCCTCCACCCAAATACGTTTGAACTCTTTCAATACCCCATCCCTAAACTGTTAGCCATTTTAACTTGAATCTCCTCCCAAAGGAACAGAAAGACGAATGAATCATGAATATTTCTAGGTTGGAATGTTTATGTTTTGGCGAGAATGCAAACGCTTCGGAAAGATAATCATTTCGCAGAAGGCCGCTGACACGGCTCTTCACCTTCGATTTTCTGCTGAATTGTTCATGATCGCTTTGCTTAGAGTTCTCTATTTAACGGTTAACCCAAGGCTTCAATCGTTCTGTCATGCCTCGTATACTAGCTTTTTACCATTGTTTTTCCATTTTTGTGGGCAGAAATGCGACAGTGACGAAAACGTGCAAACCATTCGCACCCTGTAAACCACAGTTCTGTTCAGCGCTCTTATTGCTACCAAATTTCTCAGGGGATTTGCTTGGTACATCACAGGTTAGAGAAATCTACTCAGCAAGCCGAATAGGCACTTGTATGACTCCACGGATACGAGTCAGATGTGTGCCAGTCCGGACCATCCTCTTTCCATCCTTTTTGTGGCAGTCCCTTCATCGTCGGACCAGCAGGCTGTAGCACTCGGTATGAAAGAACGTTGCAGCCAAACGACTGACTCATCAGAAGCAACAAAATTTCGGAGGTGGACTGCTTCCTTATTTTCTCCGAGGCACTCTGTTTCCCTACATAAATAGCACAGCCACAAGTACATACAAAGGTTTCAAGAAGACCGACCTTGGAGGCTTTTATAGGTGAGCTCTTATGTGGTTCATCCATTTTCTCGAAAGAGATCATCGCCTTTAGAACAAATCCAACGGATAGGGGACAAGGGTACAACAAATAGTTGAATGAGGACATTGATGGAATAGAACTGTCTGAAATGTTCTTGTTTGAAAACCACCGCTTAGCAAGTATAAGGGCATAATGGGGACAATGACAGCGATTGTAGATATGAAAAGCAGCAAGCTTTACACGCTGAGTACAGCATCGTTGCGCGAAACCCTTCGTGGCCGCTGGAAAGGGGAGAGGGTCGTAATGCAGGGTCGGTAAGCACCAAACAGCACAAAAGTGTCATCGCTAAGTTTGATGGAGCGGACGGAAAGCTGCAGAGGACCCGGATGTAAGGAAGACTACAAAATATTGAAACAATTGATTAGCAATATCAATAGTTAGCATGAACTCGTAAGTACGTAGATGACTAAATAATACATCTCAAACAGATTCGTGCGTATCGACCTTTCCAAGCCCTAAAGCATCTGCTTGCATGGGCAAA